ATTGTACTTAGTTTATGTTCAAATTAATTAGTAAAATTAATTTTTTTAAATTTGTTAGCTAATACTTTCATATATTATATTGCATTTAGGATATTATAGCCATGTATCTAATTTTTTTTATATGGATACGTTTATTTTGTTTTGAATATTTTTTTATGTGGTCTTTATATACAAGATATTCTTATAATAATTTAAGAATTAGGTAAAAATATACACTACATCTATGAAATTGTAAACATTTGGATGCGGAAAATAAAATTGAAAATTTAATTTTGAGTGAAAAGATTTTTATAAATTACATAAATATCATACAAATTGTACTACAAACATAAGTGCTTACAATTGTCAAAACTCGAGGTGGAAATATATAATTGTTATAATTGTTGGTATAATTTTCAACTAAATAGTTTATAAATCTTCCTAATTTTTCATTGGCCGAATAGCGGTTATAGATCAAACAAATATTTTWATTGACTAAATGCTGATCTAGAAACGGAAGTTTCAATTTACATAGTACATATATGGTACATTAATTTTAAGTATTCACCTATATCTGTCTTATATTCGTATTCTACAGAAAGTCCATTTTCGGTTTTATTCTACATCATGATTAACCTCGATGGAACGGATAACCGCGAAGTTCACTCAACGGCCTTAACTAAAAATAGATGAAAACATAAACTTTGCGTTTTACAGTTACAGGTGCGATCAAGCTTTTCAAATTACACTGTATGTCCGTATACACTCGGTGAACAGATCAAACTGATAAATGCAATTACTTTTGTTATAAGAAATTAATAACACWTGCACTGTATTTATACATAACATTTTTTAAAATAGCCAACTTTTAAATTGTTTAAATTAATTTCGGCGGTAAAAACATTTATCTAATTCAAGTAGTTTACCTTTTAAATCTTTTTTAAATATAAGTTTTTTTTTTTTTTTTGAGTAAATCTAAAAAAAACCTATGGTAACTTTTTCAAAATATTATTTCTAAAAACTTTCTGACATGAGTTTATTTCTTAAATTATTTACCATCCACTAAATTTTCAAAATTATTGTCATACGTTTAACTAGCATCTATTTTTTTTCTTCATATTTTTATGTAACACTGTATACTTCACAAATATAATATTATTGTGTCGTGCGCAGCTAGTACGTGTAACCTTAACGCTTGATCAGAGTGCT